ATTGTTTACATTTATTAAACATAAAGAATATAAGCAAGTTATAAACAGTCTGTAAATACAGTTAAAATTGTGCGTTTATTGTGTTGATTTTAATTTTGCACCGATTTTGTAAAGCAAAGTTTCACTAAAGAGAAATATATCGGGATTTATTGCTATAGAACAATTTTACCCAACAAAGGAGGGTTTACAATAAAGCAAAGATTCCGTATAGCAGATCATCCTGTATATATTTACGTCATTACTTCATATTGCTTCATATTTTATATGCCTCAAGAAGGGACATAACTCCATCTCATCCAAAAGTGTATTTAAATTATTCATTTTTTATTCATTCTAAGTGAATTATATGTATTTATTTTTTTTTTATCGAAAATTCATGTTTGTGTCCATGCAATAATAAGAAGTTAACTTTTTATTATAAAATAACTGTTTATGATGACTTTGCCACTAAGAAATCAAAATATGCTCAACAAATTCAAACATTTCTCTCTTTTCTTGGTTTCGATAAAGAACGGTTTTATTCTTCAGTCATTGATTTAATTTTAAATCCACCTTTTCTTTTAAGCATGTCATTCGTCAGCTTTTAAGAAAAGTTCTTTTTTTAATGATGCAATATTTTCAACAATGAAAATCAATCAATATTCAGTTCAAACACTGCCTACCAAATCGTAAAGAAGGAAAAATAATGAGGATTTTTTTTCTTGTAATGAAGAAAATATTAGAAGAAAAGTATTCAATTCCAAACATCTGTTAAATTAAATACCGGGTATATTGGAACTTTAACTCCACCTATTTTTACTCAGAAAATAATTTTTCTCGTATTATATGCCAGATATATTAGAAACAGATCTCAATTTATGTTTTTAGAACAAACTTTACGCATTCATTCAACAATCTTGGCTAAGAAATGAAAATATTTTGGAGAAGTAAATACAAAATTTATAATGTTCTTTGCCTGAAATTCACCATATTTTGACAATATCTCAAAATACTTAGTAACTTTGATTTTTTTTTTTAAATTTCCCTTCAAACAACTATTGCATTCACATACTAACAAAATAGTATGTAGAACTTTATAAGGCCATCTTTAAAAGAATGTATGCTTGCCCTCTCCCGACGGTAGGTAGAGTTGAAAATCTTTTTTATTGGAAAATGTTAACATATTTGTTGACGAGATAATAGGAATAAAAAGAAAAAATATATCGTGCCCGAACCTCTGCTATAAAATTTCACAAAGAAAATTTGAAATTTCTTATATTGATTTTCATGAACAATAATAACATTACAGCCACGTGGAAAATAGTTAGAAGTATGAAACGCTGCTTATTTTTTCAGAAATTATTTTTATATCAGATCATAATACATGTATGAAGAAATTTCAATACAGAGAACAGAAATGGTAACAATTTATTCTCACAACATAAAATTTAAAATATGAGGTGTATATGAAAATAATACTTGGTATCATACTTATATAAAATATTTTTGAAAACATCAAAAAGTGCTGTTTCCTAAGTCTGATTATCACAATGTTGTATGTGGTTGTAAGAAAAAAAACAAATCCGTGAGGAGGAGTTATCTTTCTTCTTAATTTATCTTCATTTGAATGAAACAAATGGAGATAACGACCAGTATTCAAGATTAAAAGTCTATAAAACAATACAATATAGGAGCAGAGCAAATACGGACCTCCAAAACATCAGAAGTAGGATCAAGTGCCATGGAGGAGTGAGCATCCCCTGCCGACCGGTAACACCCGCCATGTGCTCCTTGTCATGATCGGGAAATAACGAAAAAATCCTTTGTCAATTCAATGTATAAATAATGGACTAACAATTAGTGTGAAAAGCTTCAGTCAGCATTTTACTCAATGATAAATTGTATTGACTTACAAGGTCATTGTACTGACCATAGAACTTACGAAATATTGACTATATACGAGACTGTTAATATGTTTGTTTCAGCAATATGATTGAAAAATTGGTATTTATGTCCTCTAGTTGATTTTATACGTATAAGCATTCTCCTTGTACGAACACTATCTAGATCGAGGCTAGCTTGACAAAACTAGTTGATGAAACAAAAAATGAAACGCCTTGTTAAATGTCATCACTTTGCAATTTCTGTTATCGATACAATAACCTTTTCAGCAAGTACCGGTAAAATATATCATTTAGTTCAATGATGACTGACGTGTTAGACAATTATTTACCTTCAATTATTTATCTTCATAACACCATATCCCATCTCTGAAATTATTAGAGGTCCATGATTGTCCTGCTCACAATTTGTATAGTTTGAATGGACTTTTGAGCTGGAATACTATTCACTATCTCCATATTTTCATCAATAAATTTGGCCCTATTGTATGATTTCCTCTCGGGAAAAACTCCTACTCTCGAATAGAGAGTCATGAGAGAAAGTTGGTGTTGTACATTTGGATTTTTTGCATAATCGTTCCCTCTCCCTCGATCTGTATAATATATCTAGAGTAGGTATTTTTCATGAGGGGCATAAGATAGAGCCAAATTTACCCCTCGTTTTTCTCAGATTAGGATTTCACAAAATCTTTTTCAAATACATATAATTCAATCTCAACCCAAAATTGTAAGCCATTATTTAAGATTAGTCACTCAAAAATCGTGAGAAGTTATAAAATCTCTCTCGACTCATAGTTTTTACAGGAATTTTAAAATGTATATTGGGCCACCATTAGTGGTTTTGTAATTTTTTGGCCCTCTGAAGTACTTGTGCTTTTATGGATCGATCCTTTTTACAAAGAGTGGGTAAATAATTAATTAAAAATACTAGTATATGTTATTTATAGGTTCCACATTCCAATTTAGGAAGTTTTAAATCGAGTACTTCTTTTAAGGATAAAGACCTAAACCAATAACAAATCAAGTCAGGAAATACTGCTTTTGCAAGACGGTGCATAAGTATGTCCCCTTGGCCCCTATTGTATACTACTGAATTTGAAAGCAAAGAGCAAACACTATGCTTAATTTTGCCCCTTTCTTTTGAAAAGAAATAAATGGTCAATTTTTAGATTCATTGAAAGCAGCTTCTAATATTTTGGGTACGTTAACATCTCAAACTTTAGCATTTTTACATTTATTTTGAAATAGATTTGGAAAAAAATTACATTTAATAAAAATATTTTTGAATACGGCAAAAATTTGTTTAAAACGATTACGCCGTACCACTTTTTTCAGAAGTCATTTTGACCAGATAAAAGGAGTAGGATTATTGAAATGCTTCAAAGAATTGACTGGTGCGTTATTGAGAGAAAAGGGAATTCAAAATTTTCAATGTTCATAATAATTCAAATTCTCAGTGTAACTGGGTACCTTTTTGAAGAAGGGATAATTGTAACAATGCCCCCCCCCCTTTAACACGCCTATTTAAATAGGAAAAAATGGCTCTGGAGACATGTCAAATGTTGATTGACGGTTTTCGTACAAATGGTAAGGCCATGTTTTCTACATGATTTGTCTATAAAACGTGAACAAAACAAATGTATTTTAAATATATTAAACTCTTCGGTTTTTTCATTATCTATGACAGAATGATCTTTTTCATCTTAAGGGATTCTGTGATAATGATAGTATTATAATAAGTGAAATAATAACAGAGTTATAGGCATGGAAACAGATTATAATTTAATAGTCAGTATTCATGCTTTAAGACAACTTTAGATCATCTTCTTCATCAAAGACTGATGTATGTTATGTGAACCTATTAGCAATTAAATACAACACCATGAAATTTCTACAGATTCATTTGTTTCAAACAGAATTTGTCATCTAAGAGAAATAACGTTTTCCCACTAAGTTTCTGTGTTAGCATGATACTTTTTAGCTCCTTCACTGTCACACATCCCTCTTGTACACGTGTCATCTCCATCTTGTTTGGGAAGGTAGTCTGTCGTCGAACTGGCGAGTTTTTCAGATGCAGCTTTCTTGGCAGCTTTTCTTTCATTCATGTCTTGATAAAATAAATTGATTTATTTAATTATTAAGAATGTTAATTCAAATTTTAAATGTATCATAAAGAATTTATTTGATATCTAAATACAACTTTACATACCTATTACTGTTGGTTCCCCATACATCCACACTGTAACTATCTTGTTCCTTCCATATGATACATTACACGAAATTAACAGAAGCATGAGCAATAAGTAAGACATTTTGCTTTTTGTGACTCCACATAAAACTAAAACAGTTCAGATGATTATGAAGTGTTCATAAAGATCATATAGTGTTTTGCATTTCCGAATCACTGAAAAAGCCAAGGTTATGTGTCTGAATGTACCTTTTCCGGTCTATATATAATGAGCAGCGCTACTTGAAAATAATTAAAGAAAAATAGCACTATGTACCTTTGCATTGCAGATACTGTGCATGCATTTGAGGAATGAAGCTTACTTCAACTTATGTTATACGATATAACATAACTTGGGGCAGTTTACGCTTTAGGGTAAACTGCCCCAAGTTATGTTATATCGTATAACATAGGTTGAAATAAGCTTCATTCCTTATAATTTAATTTCAATGTAGACAATCAGACAATTTTTCCATTTTTTACCTTCGGAAAAAGGCTTCAAATATCGCATATTTTTAAAGTTCACGTCAAGCGGATTAATACGTTTTTGACGTTGTACTCATTGTGACGTAGGCAAGTTATGTTATACGAAATGGATAAAACCGTTTTACCAATCAAATGACATATTACAAATAAAATTAAATTGTATGGAAATAAAACTTAAATTAACAAAAATATATAAATGTTTTAATTATCTGTTTTATTCACAAGTAATGAAAATCTCACGGCAAGCGTTTAAAAGAAATTCCAATGCACTGTGTGGCTCCGAGAGGAAACAATATAAATTGTGCCAAATGAATTTTGACTTTTGTCTGTTTATATAGTAAGATATTGTAAAACCATAAGAGCTGGTCGCAATTGGTTCATGTAAGAAATTTAAAACAAAAAACTAATTTAATGAAGGAAAACGAGATTTTTATTTCCTTTCAAGACATACAAAACAATTTCATTTTAATTCTGTTTCTATTTTCATTTCAACATTTTCGAAGTCATCATCGTCACACAACTTCTTCCTACATCTACTTTTTCGAGCTGCTCCAGAAAGTTTATCACAAGACTTGCACAGTGACTCAGCAAGGTAGACTGTGGTAGAATTATCACTTACTTCAGTAGCACCCTTAAAGCCAAATCCAGCTTTCTTTTTGGTCAAATCTATTAAAAAGACTTAGTATCTGTGATTTGAAGGTTTGTCATAAAGGATTATAATAAATCGGCAAAGTAAATAAAAAAAATGTAGTTACCCAAATGTATGGCTTTTCCATTAATCCATACTGTGATTCTCTTGTCATTTCCAAAGGAGAGGTTACAAAATATGAGCAAAAGAAATAAGATAAACAGTGACGACATTCTGTTCTTACAATTTGATGTGTAAAGCGTAGATCATATAAAATTCAGAACACTATTAGTGCTTGGCAAGTCTTGCAAAAAAGAAAATTCAAGTACTTCAAGTAGTATTTCCGGAAAATAATAAACGAACTTAGAGAGAGAGAGAGAGAGAGAGAGAGAGAGAGAGAGAGAGAGAGAGAGAGAGAGAGAGAGAGAGAGAGAGAGAGAGAGAGATGTATATAAAATGAGATTTTTGAAAATTACATTAAAAGTTTTTTTCTTTAATTTTTGTTTTCTTTTCTTCTTGTTTGCAGAGCAATTTTGCTAGAGTCTTTTAAATCCGTTACGAGGTATGGCTTGTCAAACGTTGTAATATTTGATTTTTGTCATTTTTGTTGTATGGCATGTCAAACGTTGCAATATTTGATAATCTTGTGATGTATATTCAAAATCTTGTGATGTATGTTCGAAATCTTGTGATGTATATTCAAAATCTTGTGATGTATATTCAAAATCTTGTGATGTATGTTCGAAATCTTGTGATGTATATTCAAAATCTTGTGATGTATGTTCGAAATCTTGTGATGTATATTCAATATCTTGTGATGTATATTCTTAAACTTGTGATGTATATTCTATAATCTTGTGATGTATGTTCGAAATCTTGTGATGTATATTCGAAATCTTGTGATGTATGTTTGATAATCTTGTGATGTATATTCGAAATCTTGTGATGTATGTTCGATATCTTGTGATGTATATTCGAAATCTTGTGATGTATATTCTATAATCTTGTGATGTATGTTCGAAATCTTGTGATGTATATTCGAAATCTTGTGATGTATGTTTGATAATCTTGTGATGTATATTCGAAATCTTGTGATGTATGTTCAAAATCTTGTGATGTATATTCAATATCTTGTGATGTATATTCGAAATCTTGTGATGTATATTCTATAATCTTGTGATGTATGTTCGAAATCTTGTGATGTATATTCGAAATCTTGTGATGTATGTTTGATAATCTTGTGATGTATATTCGAAATCTTGTGATGTATATTCGAAATCTTGTGATGTTTGTTTGATAATCTTGTGATGTGTGTTCTACAATTCAGTGATGCGTGCAATAAAATTGCATGACGCAACAGAAAAGTAAGGACAATTTTCATTGGTTAGAAATAACGAAAGTAGCCGGAGCGGTCGAAATGCACACATTGACACAACTTCGCAAGCATGAAATTGACGAATTCAACCTAAAGTCAAAATTATAGGTAATAGAAAAATTGTTTTGGTATCAAGGAGCACTAAGTCAGTCATAACGTGAAAAGTGGGAATCAAGAACATTAATTTGATTTGTTTGTAGGTACATCAAAAACAATTTAGTGGCTTATTGCTGGACTAAACAGCTAAAGGATGTTTTATCCTATTTTTACGTCCTCATATTGTAGTGATGTTGATTAATCGGTATGATTTATTCTATATTGGTGCTAGTTAGGGACAAACTCTCACCACGCAGGGTTCGAAATTGCATGGCCCATTGCAGCTGCATTGACCGTAGCCCTAGTCCAGGGACGACTTTGCAATAAATAAATAAATAACACGACAAAAGGGGAATGTCTGGAAAAGATTAATTGCTATGCATCATTGAATATTGTCATTCACAAATTTGTCCAATTATTTTTATAGTAAATGTATTGAGCCGGGCTCATTTACAGGATAATGAACAAGGACTGTGGTGACAGTTTAAAATCACGTTCAGACGTTTAGAGAATATGTAATACACACAAAAATATCTCAATGGCATGTATAATATATTAAATAGATTTAAAAATAAAATAAAATATAGCTAGAAATTAACAGCGAAAAATATTTATTGTGTCGGGGTAATCCGGCTTTATATACAAACAGAAGTAAGTAAACACCGATGCAGCAAGATTAAGGTCAAACGTCTCTGCACTGATGTGTCCTCAGCGGGGAGATTTGCATTAAGTTATTAATGATGTTCCCTGCATTTGTGTTAGCCTGATAGTACAACCTTTATTTATAGAATCAATCTAATTCAAATTAGATGTTAGATCCGCTTGCATACTCGCTACACTAACATCTAACACCTTTCGCACCCGTTGAATTATACTTTGTAAAATATTAGTCAAAGGAGCCAGGAAAAAATATTAAACAATGTAATATTATGATAAAAATATTCAATTTACTATTTCTTAGGTGTTGAATGGATTTTGTTTTCTCAACAGCGGCTGGTGCATGTACCATACTTTTACTCGTAAACTCAATTTGGCGGTGAAGAAGCAGCATTTTCTGTTGCTCACCGTCGCAATAGCTGAGCATTGCTCTACGAGCAATGTGCCCGGCTAAAAATCATAATATTTGTAATGATATATCATATTCTAGACTTGACATAAATAAACAATGATAAGAATTATTTTTGCATATCTGCAGTGATTTTCTTTGATCTTTCTGTGGTGATAATTTATCCCATAATATCACATGTGTGATAATACTTTCCAAACATGTTTCAAAGTTTTTACACTCTTTATTATACAGTTTTAAAGAACAGTTTTATGAGCTCATAAGTATATTAAATGGTTAATTTATCAAAACCTGCATTTAAAAATTCAGAAGTCATAAGTTAAACCAAATTGTCCAGGGTATTCTTAGTAAGGTATGTCAAAGGTCATGGTTAAGTGACTTTGTAAGGCTGGTATTTTTTCTTTTGTTTTATGGCAATCAGTGCACATGGTAAATAACATAAAATTACCCTTAAAGGTCTTATGCAAGGAGATAGCTAATTAAAATGAACAAATGTAGTTTTATGTATGATGTATATAGAGACAATAATATTTCTTTTCTTTTTTTCATTTTCAGGAACTTTACGTAGGTCTACAGTTTTAATTTTGGACTCATGCACTAGGAATATCATATCAGCAGAATTGTGCCACTGAATCAAAGGGAACTCTTTTTTTTTAGGTACGCATGATCAATGTAACTTCCTCGATGGTGTGTTGGCTGTTTGCCCATGTGTATTTCGGGGTATAGGTATGTTTAGTCTCAATTTTCTTTCTTAAAAGCCGCTTAAGGGGTATATTTTTTCTGATCTCAAATTTTGTCTAAGCATTAATCTTTTTTCTCATTCATGAATTATCTGCTGATCAGAGTCTAGTTAATTAATTTATTTAATTAAAGCTATATAGTAACATATAGTGAAATTATTTCCTTGTGTGAGACCTAAAGAAAATCAGGTTACTCATTTTTATGACAATTTCTTTGATTTCAGGAGTAGCCTCCCCTTTTAAAGATCAAAAATGGTGATTTTACAGTGCCGCATGCAGTCTGGTCTTCAATGAAGAGTTTTGACACCTGTAATACCCATATTTCTACCATTCACCTCTGTAACCTTTGTTGAGTTCATCAGACTGGTAAGAAAAACAATATTGTTAATTGAAATAATTTTATCAAGATAAATAAAATAAGTAATGAAAAAAAAATTACATGAACACTGACTCCCTCATATAAGAAAATGTCACATTTTACACATTGCAATTATACATCATTTACATATTCACATTTTCCCCATTTACACATGCAGTTGAATAGATTTAGTGCTTAATAATACAACAACAACAGTTATTACACGAATCCTAAGACAATTCACAAAATACATGAATGCATTAAACTGTGAAATACAGATTTCGTACATTTAATTAAAATGCACAGCATCAGAACCCCCCCCCCCCTTCACAATCTTGCAACTTTCTTTTTAATTCAAAGTCACTAGGCAACACTAAAGATTTCCACTTATTGCTTTTCTGTCCAAGACAGGAAGTTGAGGAACAAAGTTGACAGGACATCCTGAACTGTCTTCGCTACCAGCTTATGAGGGAACCAGCTGCAGTGGACAAAGTATGTTACATCATAGGATAATAGGTAAGTCTCCGGAGTAGTGTTTGTAGCAATTCTCGTACTTGGTCCTGCTTCGAAGATTCAGGACTATTGATATTTATCTCTGCTTGGTTTGGTTCTTCCCAGAAACATGTTACTGGTGGTGGTCCCTATATTCTTCTGGCTTTTGTGGTGAGGAATGTTTCATTTCTAGCTCTTTTCTGATCACATTTTGTCTATCTAGCTGTTTGTCTGTCCGTCTGTAAACTTTTCATATTTTCGACTTCTTCTCTAGAACCCATGGGCCAATTTCAACCAAACTTGCCACAAAGCATCCTTGAGTGAAGGGGATTCAAGTTTGTTCAAATAAAGGGCCACACCCTCATTCAAGGGGAGATAATTGGGAATGAATGTAAATTTGATGGTATGTTTTAAAAATCTTCTTCTCAAGAACCACTGGGCCAGAAAAGCTGAAACTTACGTGGAAGCATCCTGGTATAATGTAGATTCTAAATTGTTCACATTATGACCCCCGGGGGGAAGGGCGGGGCCACAATGGGGTATCAAAGTTTAACATAGAAATATATTGGAAAAATCTGAGAAAATCTTCTTCTCAAGAACCACTGGGCCAGAAAAGCTGAAACTTATGTGGAAGCATCCTGGTATAATGTGGATTCTAAATTGTTCAAATAATGACCCCCGGGGAAGGGTGGGGCCACAATGGTGAATCAAAATTTTACATAGAAATATATAGGAAAAATCTTTGAAAATCTTCCTCTCAAGAACCACTGGGCCAGAAAAGCTGAAACTTATGTGGAAGCATCCTGGTATAATGTAGATTCTAAATTATTCAAACAATGACCCCCCAGGGGAAGGGCGGGGCCACAATGGGGAATCAAAGTTTTATATAGAAATATATAGGAAAAAACTTTGAAAATCTTCCTCTCAAGAACCACTGGGCCAGAAAAGCTGAAACTTATGTGGAAGCATCCTGGTATAATGTAGATTCTAAATTATTCAAATAATGACCCCCCAGGGGAAGGGCGGGGCCACAATGGGGAATCAAAATTTTATATAGAAATATATAGGAAAAATCTTTGAAAATCTTCCTCTCAAGAACCACTGGGCCAGAAAAGCTGAAACTTATGTGGAAGCATCCTGGTATAATGTAGATTCTAAATTATTCAAATAATGACCCCCCAGGGGAAGGGCGGGGCCACAATGGGGAATCAAAGTTTTATATAGAAATATATAGGAAAAAACTTTGAAAATCTTCTTCTCAAGAACCACTGGGCCAGAAAAAGTGAAGCTTATGTGGAAGCATTCTGGGGTAGTGTTAATTCTAAATTGTAGGAATCATGACCCCCGGGGGAAGGTTGGGGCCATTATAGGCAATCAAAGTTTTACATAGAAATATATAGGAAAAATCTTTGAAAATCTTCTTCTCTGGAACCACATGGCCAAAAAAGCCGAAACATATGTGCCCATGGAAGGATCATGGGGTAGTGTAGATTTCAAAATGTCTAAATTATGATCAGTGGGGTAGGGTGGGTATGCATGGTATGCATTATGTATAACAAGGGGGAAATCTGGTAAAGAACAAAATGGTCAAAGCTTCTCAGGTGAGCGATGTGGCCCATGGGCCTCTTGTCTAGTTATGGGCTGGAAAGGATTTTTCCATATTTAGCTATAACTTCTTAATTAAAGGTCAGAGCGACCTACTTTTTGTGCGCGACACACCTTCTACCCAAGATGCATCAGATGACAAAGTTTGATAATCCTAGGCCTAATAGTATTAAAGTTATGAGCCGGAAACAAAAAGCTAACAGACAGACAGACGGACAGACGGACGGACACGAAGCCTATAACATAATACGTCCCGTCTTAAGACGGGCGTATAAAAATCTGTATTGTCCAGTACTTTGAAATTAAAAATCTTGGTGAGTAAATGATTTCAAAACATGTATTAATTTACAAGTGCAGCTGTTCAATATGGTATGAAGATATTGAAAAAGGAGGGGATATGTACTGGTATAACACAACTTAAGTGTTTTTTGATTTTTTTTTAGATCTTAAACAAGATACCCTGTGCCTGAAAACCAGTCACCCATACTATCATCAAATTCAAGGCCAGCTACACATATGTAACAAAACATTCTGCGACTTAATTGTGTGGACAAGAGTAGACTGCATTGTGATTAGAATAGTAAAAGACATTGAATGGACAGCAAATGTTCCAAAGCTGATAGATTTCTACATTAACATTTTCATTCCAGCACTGATGGAAAACTGAGTTCTGGTTTGAACTTCTTGACACTTAGTTTTGTACCTCTAGAATTTTCTAACAATGGAAAATGGGTAATCGTGTTAAATTTGTTGAATGTTCCCAAGTCTCATAAATGTATGATATGATATGTCACAATCCAATGAATCCATCATAAAACTTCTGGCTTATAAGACTATTTTAAATAGCAATGATGATTAATAAAATCTATGTACTACATAAAAAAAGAATATCAAAATTTAGAATCATTTTATTAATGAATTGAAGATGTTATTCTCAAAGTGAAAATGTAACATTTTTGTCTTTCTTAATAGATAAATTGTTGAAAACATGAATTTGTTGAGTTGTGCTTTAAAGGTAAATATACTTTAAACTAGAAATTTAAAATTATAAGTAAACCCTCTTCCAAATAATATTGTCAAATGAAGAATCGAATTGCCAACCATTCTTGTAATAAATCCATGCTAAACAAAAGGGATTTTCATTTTCTGAAGTACATGTATTACAACATACTACAAAGTTAACAAATATAACCATTGACATTGATAACAAATCAAAATTTGCTTATCCCTTGCACTTTGGTATGAATATCTTCACTGTTTAGTGTATACTGTCACACGCCAATGCAAATTTATAATAAGTACATGTATCTTTAAGTAATTTCTTTCAAAAGTGGAGCTTGCAAGTTTACAAGACAAGAACAGAGTTGAAATATTTTTGTTGAGATTGGTCTGTAAGTAGATGGTATGTGACGGAGAATCTCGTAATTCTTTATCCTCTCGTTGGCTCTTTCCACATGAATAAGTGCTTTAGCAATCTTGTAACACAGTGCTGCTTCTTGTATGGTAAACTGGCCTCGTGTCGATAAAAGAGCTTTTATAATTAAGCAGACACCCTGGGGCAACTGGTCATGAATGGTGAAACCTTTGACCACCAAAATAAGGTCTCCAGCTTTGAACTTTCGTAAAACTTGGCTGTGACGTACAATAGCTACATCAGAAGTAGAACCTGGGTACAGCATGGAGCAAAATGTAAGTGCACCATTTGGAGGCACGCAAGTTACTGCTTTAAAAGTATGGCAACTTTTGTACATACTGTAGGCCATGGCCTGATTATCCATATGTGTTGGGATGTCCTGGGTTGTTTCATTTGCATCCATGGATGCTCTAGCAGAGGAAAAATCCTCAAAAGATTTTGGCAGAGACCCTGAAAAAAAGTTGGAAAAAAATTAATTTGATTATTTGTAATTGTGTAAAAAAAATTGTGTTACAGTAAATCTTTCAAGAATACAATAAATTTAACTGCATTAAATTTTTGCAAGTCATTATGATAAATTTTAAAACAAACCTTTGCATTTAAGCCGACTTGGAAAACATTCTACGCTACATTCTACACTACGCCATCAGACAGCATCTTGTATAGGGAAAAGACCACTAATTATTTTCCCATAGAACTCCATACAAACCTTAGGCCCTCTCAGTACTTTACTATGACAATTTCAGATAAATCTTTAGCATCATTTCAAACTTTGTTCTAAGCCCTAACAAAAAATACTGAAAAAAATATATGGTCCCATGGCGTTTATAAGTCAAAATTGCAGTTATTTTCAACTTATAGAGATTCGCAGTAAATAACACGCGGCATAAAAAATTAACCCCCACTCCTAAAATCTTCCCTGGCATTTCTATAGTTTCTGTAATATTCCCTCATCCCATCATTTATTTCAAAGGTCATTAATTTTACTTTAAAATGAAAACAATTAAATACCTGATTTCAGCCAATGGCGTAACGCCTACCCATTCAGTATTCCGTTTAATGTTCCATAACAAACAAAGCCATGTGTGCATCCGGGGATTTGGTGCTCTCATTCCTGTACTTACATGTACATACTTACCTGTCCCAGAATTAGTCAATTGTGGTAATTTCAAAGACTATACACCTACCTGTGAACATGTATGAAATTAGAGTCCTGTGACTTCAGTGTATTGGATACTGTGACCATCTCAAATGATGACACCTTACTGCTACCAGCACAATTCAAAGGAGTGAATGACGTCTGGGCCGGTGATGATATTTGGATATATTGGTGACTGTAATAAATAAAATATTTGTACAATGAATTGTTTTTGTGCTTTGATGTTAATAAAGTGATATTAAGTCAAAATTGAGTCAATAATTTCATAAGGGTGGATTCTACCCAGAATTAGGTAAAAAGCTCCAAAATTGGATAAATCATAGTTAATTAAGCAATATTCAAAGGTTTTAAAAAGACTGATATAGAATTTTTTTATGCTTATGCAAAGTATATTTTTTAAGACTCTGATATACTAATTGATTCTTATCTAATCCCTCCTATTGCTTAAGTATGTACAAAAAAGTTTCCCCACCCCCCAGTGAAAAACACTTAAAGAAATAGCAGGTGCCCCCTTTTATTTTTGTTTACAATTAATTTAGACAAGTTTAAATCAATCCTTTTGATAACAAATCAAAGTTCAATGTCTGTAGTCTTATTACAATCAGAAGCTACTTTTTGAATTTTATTCTAAGAAAAGGAGAATTTAAATAATTTTTTTTAAAAATTAAAGAAAAGCTAAAACTGAACCCAAAATGTACTTTACAATAAGAGGCTGGAAAGTTAATAAATAAAATTTTTACCTGCAATGTACAGAAAACTGTCCGACAAAATACATCGGGTGGGTAGGGAGTCTCCATTTTCTTCTTAATATATAGAGAAAATGCCCCTGCTGATCAGAGACCTAAACTCCCAAATAATAACAAAATATGTTAACATAACAGTCAATCTAAGATGTTCATCCCTCAATGGCAACAAGTTTTTATTACAGTAACTGAAATTTTTAGGAAATAGGAAATCACAATTGGAATTCCTTTAAATGTACCTTCTCTTCGTTGTATTTAATATCGTGGATTGATATTGGCTTCCTTTTACTAGACTCTATTTTTAGGGCAAGCAATTCCTTTTCCAGTTGTATTTCTGTTGAGAGGCGCTGCATTTCTTGAGTACAGTTAAATGTGCAGGATGCTGAGTAGTTGTGCTCTGATATCAACTGAAAATATATTGTAAATCATGTACAGTTAAAAGAACTTTATATATTATTAAAAATTATTGAAAATGTTTCAGTGTTGGTCATTTGTCATCATTGATGTTTTAAATGAGCTTTACTTTTTCTTGATATTGACATTTTGGTGCTTGTGGAATCTGCAACTGGTCCATCTGTGAAGATGACAGGGACTCCTCACTTTTGAGTTTTTTCCTCCTTTGTAAAATAATTAAACTTGAATTATTTTTTATTCAGTTGTAAGCTACTCTGTTTATACAATTACATGTACCCTTTTAAAGATTTTTAGTAAAATATTCTCAATTAAACTCCACCCACCCACCATCCAAAATATGATGTCGGTCATATTTTGAAAAATAATTTCACCTTTTTGTACATTCAGGATCAGAGAAATCCATGGCCTTTCCTTCATTCCATGCAAAATATGCAGGGTCCCCCTCCTTCTTACCATCCTTAAAGTGGCAGGAGCAGATGCGATCATTCTGATCTCCTGGTTGGCGATCAGCTCATCTAAAAATATACATTGTTATACCTTTAAAAAATTGTGCCTATACAAATCTATACAGAAAAAAGTCTAACATTTTTAATGTTTTGCTGAGCGGGCATAAAAAATCGATGTTGGACCCCTGAGTGAGATGTTGGACCGCTCGGAGAAATGTTTTAAAAAGTGACCACTTACGTCACAGAAAAAAATATATAATAAAATGGGCGGAGCTTAATCTCATTTTCATTCTTTGGTTTTAAAAAGTGACAGATCTAATGTTACATTAATATAGTACAAAATACATGTATGTCAAAAAATATATAATAAAATGAAAGGTATAACAAAACATTTATTGACAGAGTTCTCGGGCAAAATGCGTTTTGTCGGACCCTCGTTTATCCAAACTGTCTGCCTTCGGCCTAACGGCCTCAGGCAGACTGTTTTAACTATCTTGGGTACTGACAAAACGCATGTTGCCCTCGAACTCAGTCAATAAATAAATGTATATTATATAAAGACTGAGTGAAGGAGAATTAAAAAGCAAAACATGTTCATTTAGCATGTTATTATCAAATAGCCTAAATGACTTATTTTTTCATTATTTTTTTTTTAATGTTACATTTACTTGCAAGTACAAGATAACCATGTGCATAACATTAACTAATCCGAGATTCCTCTGACTCTAACCCCCGCTTTTATATTGTGACTTGTGCGCACAAGTCACAATATAAAAGCGGGGGTTAGAGTCAGAGGAATCTCGGATTAAACATTAACAAACGGTAGCAGTATTTGGTAGTAATAATACGAAATAAAATGTCATAAAAACAGCTGTTAAACAAAAATTAATCTTGCTACAAATTGCACAGTTTTTGTAGTATGTACTCTTCATTATTCTTCTGCTATATTGATTACTACGAGATTTTACTTTTTAGCATGCATGTATAAATACTGTATCTGACAGTGACAATGCAGCATCGTGACATATCGTTACAAGTACCTACAAATTTTGTCAATACATCTACGTTTTAATACTGAGTTTTTTCCCTAGCAGGCCGAAATATCTCCATCATGTCACCAGGAACAACACTCGTGCATCTCGTAATTAGTGTTGCAATAAACAAACTGATGTGTTTTTTCTCACCTGCATGGTTTTCCCGACGCTTCAGCTACTTTCGTTATTTCTAACCAATGAAAATTGTCCTTACTTTTCTGTTGCGTCATGCAATTTTATTGCACGCATCACTGAATTGTAGAACACACATCACAAGATTATCAAACAAACATCACAAGATTTCAATATACATCACAAGATTTCGAATATACATCACAAGATTTCGATTTCGAATATACATCACAAGATTATCAAACATACATCACAAGATTTCGAATATACATCACAAGATTTCGAACATACATCACAAGATTATAGAATATACATCACAAGATTTCGAATATACATCACAAGATATTGAATATACATCACAAGATTTTGAACATACATCACAAGATTTCGAATATACATCACAAGATTATAGAATATACATCACAAGATTTCGAATATACATCACAAGATATCGAACATACATCACAAGATTTCGAATATACATCACAAGATTATCAAACATACATCACAAGATTTCGAATATACATCACAAGATTTCGAACATACATCACAAGATTATAGAATATACATCACAAGTTTAAGAATATACATCACAAGATATTGAATATACATCACAAGATTTTGAACATACATCACAAGATTTTGAATATA